TTTCATATTAATGACATTCCAGTATAACATGTTCTGTTTCATATTTTCCAAAGAAATCACATTTGCCAGTAGTTTGCTTTTGAATTTTGAATAGTGTATAATTCTTTACCTTGTTATCACTCCCTCCTCCTTTCTATTTCATCTTCCATTTCTTCTTTTTATTGGACATACTTTGTTTCATTACAGCCCCATGAGCATAAAATCCATGCCTGCATTTTAATTTGTACTTAAATAGCCTTTCATGTTTAAAAAAACATACCTCTCCACTCACCTTCCTCTTCTTCACTCCACCTCAGCATTTAGATATTGAGGGATTTAATTTAGTCTGCTGAACATTTTTACTTCCCACACCTTTTTAATACCTGCTTCATTGAAGTATTAAGAGTACCAATCTACACCAGGTGCAACAAGATAGCAATATATTCATGTATATGTAATTACTGTGTTGATATTTATTATAAAAGAACAAAAAAAAGCTAATTAGATGTTTTAGAACTTAATATTTTTAATGCCAACAAGCTTCAGATGACTATAAAATTGGTAGACCTAAAATAATATAAAGAATTCAAGCACTTTAACAAAAATAATATATATTTTTCAATAGAAATAAACAACGGTCACAGTATTCTACATAAAAAAAAAATACAAAAAAAGACTGAACTTCATGTATTTCAGTGTAAAAATAAAAAATAAAAATGTGGAGGTCAAAATAATTGACTTCCATGTGTTTCACTGATTAAAACACATGGAGATAAATGAAACAAAAACTGATGTTTTCAAGCCTCAAGACGATTTTTACTTACAGCTAAAAAAAAAAAAAGAAAAAAACAACACTCCCCCTCCTGATAGTCTAACCCTCTAACATAAAGTTCAGATGTGTTTGTTGTTGTTTTCCATTGACAGTTGTTTTAGTAGCTACAGTTTTCACTTTTCTAAGGGTTTTTTATCACTGTGTTTTTTTTTCTCTTTCTTTTTTTCCCCAAGGATTTGTTCAATTCTATGCATAATGATTTCAAATTTCTTTTTCAGTGTTAGCACTTCTCATCTTTAGTAGTAGTAATAGTAGCAATAATAGTAGAGGAAGTAGCAGTAGTTGAATGACTTGCATCTGTTGTAATTTTGTTTTTCTAGTTAATATTTACCTAATCAAAAAACCCTTTTAGTCCTTCCTGTTTCAACTGAGCTACAGACAATTGTTTATTATAGGATAGAAGAAATAAATCCTCCGAGGCCAGTAATTCCATAAGTCAGAGATGTCAAACTGGTTCCAGAAAGGGCCATGTGGCTGCAAGTTTTCGTTCCAACAAAGCAGTAGCACACCAGACTCCAGTTCATCCCTGCCATAAGTAGTATGTATTGCTATGTAATGTGCTATATGCTATGTAAGTGATTATTAACTTTTTCTAAAGTGTCCAAAAAAGAAAGAAGTATTATTATTAATAATCCAAACAAATTGTTACATATTTTCACTGAACCACCACATGTAAAGAAAAAACTTCTTGTTCTTGAATAAAAAAAACAATTAAAACCCACTCATTAACAAACAATTTCATATTGTTTGATCAGCAAGGATGCATCAGTTTCAACCAGGAGAAACAGACTAAATATCACTAAGAGGGTGAAATTCTGTGTGCAACTAACTTTAAAGACCTGTAGCAGAAGTTCCAGAAAAAGAAAATAAATTAAAAGAAACTGCATCTTTATAATCAAATCAGTTCACTTAAAAATCATGTCTCATAAAAGAAAACTATTACCATCGTTATCAGCATATCTGCAGAGTTACTCTGTGAATAAATTACTTTAAATAAGTGTATATGATATAGGGGTTTAGGAAAAATAAGATCCTTTATTTTAACAATATTGCAAATACTGTGATGTTTTGATATTTGAAGCATGAAGGCTGTCATGGCCTCTGGACAACAGTAGATGTCACTGTTAAGGAGTAAATGAAGCATCAAGTCAGCAGTACCTGCATTTACAATTGCAACAGTTCCCCAATCGACTCTAAACCTTGGCTGATCAGAAATTCTTAATCTGTTTACATGGACACTAAATAAAATGATCCAATCATGTTTTTATGGATACACCAAGCATCCGATCAAGACGATTCGATCACGCTGACGTTTTGGAGATTATTTTACTCCAGAGATCTGAATTCGTGTGATCGTGGGAATGGTAATCAGAAAAAAAACGTCTTTCGGAATGAAACTCCTTTTTTCGATGGGATTGAAATTATCACTCTGACTTGTTTGCATGAAACATTTTTGATCTCATCAGTCTAATTGCTTCATTTGACAGAAACTTGTAGGTGGCAGACAGGAGATTTACAATAAAATTCAATAAAGTAGAGGAATAAGTGTGAAAATTAGAGGTTAACAATAGTAGCATGTACAAACACTGACAGGACAACAAAATGAGGTACAAGTTGAAAATAAGGATCTATCACAAACATTTGGGTTGATTTTGCCAGATGAGTTAATTGTGTGAATGATTAATCTCAGCCCTCATGAATGCCCATGTGTCTCTTCAGTTTACATTCCTGTTTAAAAGCTTTACTGCACAAGACACATACAAACAGTTTCTCTACGGAATGAACTCTTGTGTGGTTCTTTAGATGAAATTTATGTTTGAATCTGCTTTTACAGACGTCACAGCCGAAAGGCCTCTCCTCTGAGTGGAACCTTGCATGTCTCTGTAGCTGGATTTCATCAACAAAATGTTTACTACAATTACTACAGCTGAAAGGCGCATTGTGAGACTCCATGTGCTCTTTCATGTTTTTTTTTTGTTTAAATGCTTTAAAACAAACACCACAAATAAACTCTTTCTCTCCTGTGTGAACACCCAGGTGTCTCTTTAAACGGTCTGGTTTTGAAAATCCCTTACTACAAAGACTACAAACAAATAGTTTCTCTCCTGTGTGGATGAGCATGTGGCTTTTTAAATGACTTTGCTGGGAAAATCCTTTCCTGCAAATTTTACACAGAAACGGTTTCTCTCCTGTATGCACACATATGTGCCTCTTAAGTGCAGTTTTCTTTTACTATTTGCTCAAATCTAATGTTTGTGCAACAAACCTGCCACTTTTGGAATAAACTATATTTTAAAGGTTGTTGGAGAGTAAACAATTCTGGTTTCATTTTTCTATTGCTCACGTCGTAAATAGCTTAAAAAAGTCACTTGCTGAGTTTTTTTCTGTTTCTTTTCAGCTCCTGTGCGGATGGAGACGCTGCAGGCACCAAACTGAGCCCCACAGGGTTTCCTTTTTCAATCTGCATCATCTCAGACATCCTTAAAACTTTCACAGATCAAGGTTTCAGCCACATGACCTGCATCCTGTTTGCTACCTGGAACTGGAATCAGACACATTTAGAGTTGGATTTTGAAAGTGTAGGAACAGAAAATGTAAACAGTGGAAGAGCAGAGTCTGGTAGCTTGCTCAGAGGTCCTCAGCTTATAAACACCAACAGGTGTTTTTAAACTACGACTTTTTAACAGCTTAAAGGTTGTTGGCTGCTTTAGCTCAGGTGGCTAATAAGCTTTTTATTTAGCTAGTTACTGTTAGATTCAGACAAGAAAACAAAGCCGTGATTTAAAGAAAAAAAGAAAAAAGTCTGTTCTGAGCAGTGTGCTTGCGCTCTTAGAAGGTTGCAAGTACCCAGTTCAAATCCCACTGCCTCGACTGTGGGTTCTGAGTGAGACCCTTAATCTCTTTTTGCTTCCCTGGTGCAGCACAGTGGCAGCCCACCACTTACCAAAAGGATGGGTTAAATGATGCAGAGGTAAATTTCTCTAGTGTGAGTTCAATAAAGTTTCATTATTATTATAAACTAAAAAAGCAATCTGAGTGCACAGATCTCCACCAAGCAGCACATTTTGGCCTATATTCTGACTTACACCTATAGCTAAAACTTGCTCATAATCTTGATCATTGCTGCTTGGCATGAGTTTTTGTAACAATTTCCTAAAAGCCCTTTCATAAATTTATAAATAAGGCACAGCGTCTGGCTGCAGCCTCTGGTGTTTGTCCTGCTCTACTTTCATTCATTCTGCAGTCTTCTTCCTTGTTTGATCAGGCGAACAAGACTTTCAGCGAGGCATGGCTCACCTTTCCTTCGTCTTCAGTATAATTGAAGAGGAAACCATACTCGAGATCGGTCTTAGTCTCGAGACCGGTCTCGAGACCATTTTTTGATGGTCTCGGTCTCGGACTTGACAGCATTTGGTCTCGGTACTGTCTCGGTCTCGGGCGCTGAAGACTCGGCATTTTATTTCAAGACAGGTCAAGACCACAACTGTGGAAATAACGCTAATCATCAGAATATTATCAGTTTCTTTAAGATCCTTCTTTTTATTGGATGCTTGGATTCAAATCCAAGCAATAACCTGTCTCATTGGTAAATGCATGGTTTTTTTTTTTATCGCTGTCACGCTCACCCCCTTTCACCTGCGCGCGGGCTGCAGCACTTCGATTGAAAGTCACAAGTGGTTGTCTGAGAACGGGATAAGATATCGGCCAAATCATCGGTTATAAAATTCGGCTATTTAAATCACAAAGAATATATTTGTAAAGCAACATTGAGAAAATAGCATACAGCGCAATGTAAGTTCTGCAGTGCTTCACTATCAGAGACGGTAGGTATAAAAGTTATATAGTTTTTTTGTCTTTTTTTACATATTTAAGTCATTATGTTGTGACAGTATGTTATGAGACCGAGAAGCTGTGAAAATATTGAGCACTTCTGCCTTTTCTCCATGTTCCCAGTACTAACTAGAGAAATACACTGCTTGGTCAAAAAGAAACCATCT